ATTTAGCCAAGGAAGCAGTCACTCACCAATAAATATTAATGTGAAACATATCACCAGTAAAGAATATAATTTCTTTTTTAAAAAATCAATAAATTTGTATAACTAACCTTCAGTGATTGGAGCTGAAGTCCTAAAATTCCTTAGTCAAAGATTTCAGGGCCAGCTATGTCTCAGTTTTATAATTTGGAGAATTTAGGGAGGTATACATGGCATTTCACATATTAATTAACATGCCATGGCAAACATATGGGAAAGCATATGGACAACTTGCCCAAAGCAACATAAGTAAAGACCTTTTGTCTTACTATCATTTAATGTCCATTTTAAATAAGGAATTAGGATAAAACTTTTCCCAGAGTTTTTGGAATTTGGAATTATAAATGAAACAGTTAACCAGTGTTAGTGGACAGAGTTTGCATAAACAGTAATAGATGCAAAAGAAGAAGAAAAGCCCTTTAAAAAATTAAGACAGGGAGAATATCCACAAAACTTTTACGGCCAGAGAAGAAGTGCTTGATTTGGACTTCTTCTTTTTAACATGCAGGAGGCCTAAGAAGAAAGCCTATACATGGTCTTTCTTCTGAGGGGTCAAGGTTGCCTCAGAGAGGCCACAAGCTGGGGACACTGCTGTGGATGAGAACTGCATCAGTGAGGACGCGGCAGCAGCTTCTTATGGGGACCATCCATGAAACACTAACTGTGAGCTCGTGCTCAGATACCCCAGCAGCAAGTCTCCTTATGACTTTGGAAAACATCTTCAGATCCAATGAGAATGTGTTTGATAGGAAAGGATACCAAATGTGGAAAGAAAAAAAAAAACAGAGATGTGCAAATACATTAGGGTGGGCAGAATGGCCCCAAAGATGTCCAGGCCCTAATGTCCTGAACTGTGAACATATGACTTTGCATGACAAAAGGGACTCTGCAGATGGGATCAAGGTTAGGAAGACTGTCCTGGATTTCCCAAGCTGACCCAGTTTAACCACAGGAGCCCTTAAAGTAGAGAACTTTCTCCAGCCAGAAGAAGAAATCGGAGAAGTGAAGCAGAAAGAGAACAAGAACACAGGGAGATTTAAAGGCGAAAGGACTCCACTTGCTGCTGCAAGAGCAGGCCACGCGGGATGCACAGGGAGGCAGGAGGCCTGTAGGGGCAAAGACCAGCCCCCCGCTAACAGCCTGCAGGCCTACACGCACAGGAAAGTGAGTGAGCATGTACACGGAAGAGTCAGCAGGGAAGTTCTGACTGCTACCATCTGAAAGGCCTGCTTGCAAGGCTGGCCCATTCCCAAGACTCATGATAAGGATGGCTCACTGTGCCCAATGTTTTTAAAGTAACTGAAAGTGTAATTCATAATTATCAAGTAGTAAGACTTACTGCTGTCAATGCCAATTGTGTACAATGGGCCCCGAGTAAGAGGTGAATTCGCTCAACCCATGATAATGAATGCTGAAGATGCAAGGATGAGCCCCTTTCCTAAAGGAACTAAAACTGCTAAAAGAGGAGAAACACCTGCACTGGACGTTCAAGGACCAAGGGCTGCAAGCTGGGACAGCAGGCTGCAGAGAAGCACAGAGCAGGGAGCTCTAGAAAGGCCACCTGCCAGATGAGAGAGTCCACTCACTCAATAACTCAGCAAACACTGGCCAACTTTCTGCTCAGGCCCGGGCGCCATGAAGTGCTGGGGACACAGGCAGGGTACGCAGGTCTCTGTTTACACAAGTTCAGGAGTGGGAGGCAGGCTACCTCACCAGGCTTTTCCATGTGGCATGATGCATAGGTCTGGGGGATCCTTCTGTCCTCACCTGCATGGTCTAGGGTTAACAACGCCACCATTCTTGACCCAACTTCCACAGGGCACTTGATCATTAAACAGACTGACAGAAGGTGATGCTTAGATGTGGTTCCCCTAGAACCTGATTAACTGAAAAATAAGAATTTTTACACTTTCTCAATCAAATGGAGTTGAAGGTGGCAAAAACATAAACCTTAATTCATACAACTAAGAATAAGCAGGCACCCTGAAGTCTCAGACAGTAAAGAATCTGCCTGCAATGCAGGAGACAAGGGTTTGATCCCTGGGTCAGGAAGATCCTCTGGAGAAACGAATGGCTACCCACTCCAGTATTATTGCCTGGGAAATCCCATGGACAGAGGAGCCTGGCAGGCTACAGTCCATGGGCTTCAAAAGTTGGACATGACTGAGAGAATAAGCACAACCATTAGTTACCTAATTTTGAAAAATAATATGCAATTTTTAACAAAGTTTCTCTTTATAAGTAGATACTTCATTTAACTTTAACTTATTCTTTTAAAAAAAAACCTTTTTGTTTCATATTGGAGTATAGCCAATTAGCAATGTTGTGATAGTTTTAGGCAGACAGTAAAGGGACTCAGCCATAGATATACACGTATCCTTTCGCCCCTAAACTGCCCTCCCATCCAGGCTGCCACATAATATTGAGCCAAGTTCCCTGTGCTATACAGTTAAACCTGCTTACTCGTAAATAATACTGATCTTAGACCACCTGACCTGCCTCTCGAAAAATCTGTATGTAGGTCAGGAAGCAACAGTTAGAACTGGACATGGAACAACAGACTGGTGCCAAATAGGAAAAGGAGCACGTCAAGGTTGTATATTGTCACCCTGCTTATTTAACTTCTATGCAGAGTACATCATGAGAAACGCTGGGCTGGAGGAAGCACAAGCTGGAATCAAGATTACCGGAAGAAATATCAATAACCTCAGATATGCAGATGACACCACCATTATGGCAGAAAGTGAAGAGGAACTGAAAAGCCTCTTGATGAAAGTGAAAGAGGAGAGTGAAAAAGTTGGCTTAAAGTTCAACATTCAGAAAACTAAGATCATGGCATCTGGTCCCATCACTTCATGGCAAATACATGGGGAAACAGTGGAAACAGTAACAGACTTCATTTTTGGGGGCTCCAAAATCACTACAAATGGTCACTGCAGCCATGAAATTAAAAGATGCTTACTCCTTGGAAAAGTTATGACCAACCTAGACAGCATATTAAAAAGCAGAGACATTACGTTGTGGACAAACGTCTGTCTAGTCAAGGCTATGGTTTTTCCAGTAGTCATGTAGAGATGTGAGAGTTGGACTATAAAGAAAGCTGAGTGCCAAAGAATTGATGTTTTTGAACTGTGGTGTTGGAGAAGACTCTTGAGAGTCCCTTGGACAGATTCAACCAGTCTATTCTAAAGGAAATCAGTCCTGAATATTCACTGGAAGGACTGAAACTGATGCTGAAGCTGAAACTAGAATATTTTGGCCACCTGATGCGAAGAACTCACTTGAAAAGACGCTGATGCTGGGAAAGATTGAAGGTGGGAGGATAAGGGGATGACAGAGGATGAGATGGTTGGATGCCATCACCGACTCAATGGACATGAGTTTGAGTAAACTCCAGAAGTTGGTGATGGACAGGAGGGCCTGGCGGTGCGCTGCAGTCAATGGGGCTGCATAGAGTTGGACATGACTGAGTGACTGAACTGAACTGTCTCTGGTTTGGACTTGGTGCTCTTAGAATTAGCACAACACTAATAACTGCTCCCAATCATATACATGGCAACTGCTTGTTTAGAAACTTTGTCAGGCAGCCTGAAAAACACTCACAAATTCCTTCCCATTTTACTATTTTAATTAATGTTAGATAATTAACGAATTCTTCTTGATTCAATTTACATCAACATTTACTGACAAACTTAATAATAAGCACTCCAGAGACAAAAAGATTAAGTGGACAATCTATTAGGTCTTAACATAACATTGGTGTCTAAGGAAATTCAAATGAGGGCAATTTGTTACCCAAGAAATATTATCACTTTGTTGCCTATTAGCCTTATTGATAATGGATTTTTAGCTGACGTTTTTCCTCTTACCATGACAATTCAGAAAAAAAAAATTTAAGTTACACAGCATCCTTAGACTAAGTTAAATGGAAGACACACTGTATATATTTTATTGTGGTAATATATATACAATGTAACATTTAGCCCTTTAGACATTTTGAAATGCACAATTCTAGACATTAATGTTCACAGTGTTTGTGCAGCCATGACCACCACCCATTTCCAGAACTTTTCATCTTCTCAAACTGAAACCCTGTCCTCATTAAACACTAACAGTTCATTACTTGCTCCTCCATTCCTAAATTACATTTTTAATAAAAAGAAAAAAAGTAATTTTGTCTCCACTTGACAAATCTTCTTCAGGCCAACCCCCGCACCCCGCCCCCAGTTGGTTGCCCCATCACCCAATTGCAAACCTTGGGCGGATCTTTTCAACACTCTACTTTTGAAGTTTTCACTTGAAGCAAACTGTGATTTAAAGATATGAAACCCTAACTATGTAGTCGATTACATATATTTTAAAATTCCAGAAGTTAAGCAAACAAAACCTAATTCTTCTAAAAGGAGCATGAATATGTGATCAGAATAGAAACTATGTCTCTGACCTAAATTAAAGTAGTTATGATTCAAAGAATCCTAACCATATATTGTCCATAAATTGCAAGAAGTCACATGGTGCTCAAGTTCCTGTTGGAACAGGAATTCAACACATGCCTCGAGAAGTCTTCCACAGAACATTCTCCATTACATCAATCTTTAAATGTTCTGAGTCTTTTAAAAATTTCAATTTATCAAAGGGCACCGAAAAAAAATGAATATGCTTTAATTAAAAAATGCTCAGGCAATATAAACTACTGTGCCTGATATTAAACAAAAATAAAGTGAGTTGTATGTGATTTATTTAAACCTTAGACTACACACTGTTTAAAGAAATAATGGGAAGACATTTCCCCTACATTGTTTTACCTTTTACTTATTTCATCAATTATACAGCGACAGTGTATTCTAAAACGTCACATGTGCCTTACATTCTGTGGGAATATTCTCGAGTAATTTAGGAGGCTCTGTTTCTGTACTTGACCTGACAGATGGGCAGCAAAATGTTGTAAATGGCACAGTTCATGCTGTGACAGACTGCTTTTCAACAGACACACATACCCAGATGCTCTCCTCTCGTCGACACTGCTTCCAGCTCCTCCCGCCGTCACTGAACATCAGGAGGTAGCTGGTCACCCAGTCGGAGCTCCCGTACCCTCCCTGGGTGGCCACGGCTGTGACCTCCATTCTCTCTCCAAGGTCAATCTGCAGCCACTGGTGTTGATTTGACACAAGAGGTGACCAGCCACCAGCTCCTTCTTGTGGGGAGTAGAAAAAAGAAAAATGATAAAGATGGAGAAATCTTTGAAATTTTTATTAACCTGGAAGAATAGTATCATAAATGAAATTTATAAAAATCATAGTTTCAAATTCTTCCTTATATAATGCCTCATAATTACACACACTTATACAAGCAAAAAGTAAAGACACAAGTTAAGTGTAAATGAATGAAGCTTTTATTAACTGGATTGTCTGTAGCCCCTGACTCTTTGGAGTTCAGGGGTCCCACTCACTGAAAGTGCTTAATATAACAGGTGGACAACAGGCCATCACGTCAGTGCTTGGAACTAGTGTGTTCATTGGCTTTAATGCATGACTTGCCCTCTGTTGGCCATAAGGAGAATACCCAGACCACGGTAGAATTAGAAAACCTTAACTCTGGATTCCTAACACCAGGAACTACAATGTTGAGAACTGGGATAACAAAGATGGTTATGGCACAGCCCTGCACTCAAGGTGCTCACGGACTCATAATAGAGAGAAGAACTTGAGAACAATTCAGAGAATAACTTGAAAGACAACATGGGAGTGGTGACGATGAAATTAATTTCTGTGCGGGGAGCGAGAGTTCTGGACAGGCAGGAGGTAGGATGAGTGAGGATCCAGAGGAGGCTAATGATAAGGGTTCTTGTGTGCTGATGAAAATAGTTGCAGAATAGAAATCATTGTGCTTTGTTTTTTCCAGTGCTGGTAAGAAACCAAAGAGGCACAGATTTCTGAAAGTGTATTATTGGTATATTTTGTTCTTCCATTTATTGGAAACATGAGCTTTTAACTTGGATTTAGATGTCATATTATAATATGCTTTGTTCATTTAAATTACTATGCAATATAAAATTGGGAAATAGATCCGAAATGCATTCTAGAACTGATATTTTGCTAATTATCCATGTCTAGAAAACACAGTGTCATGTAAACAATCCCTAACATGAAAAAAGTAGCTTTAAAAAATTGTTCCCATTATTCTTACACCTCATTTGAGACTCTAATAATGAAGCCTGATCCTGTAGGCAACATTTATTATCTTCTTATTAAGGGCAATTATTAACATCCACACCCCGTTTACTAAAACTGTTATGACAGTGCACATCAGGAGAGGTGTGACATGGTTACAGGAGAGGTTGAAGGGAAATGGAAGTGGGGTACTTACATCAGTGTGCGGAGCTGTCACCAACAAGTCACCAGCAAGTGGGCACATCTGTGGCTTCACTATGTCCTCTGTTAATTGCACTGCATGTGTAACTCTTGGTTAAGTCTAAAGCTTACAGGTTCTTTCTGAGACTTCCTCATTTCCTGTAGTAAATCTTTGTTCCAATATTATAAATTTTCTTCTCACTGTGTCACAAGCACAATCTTTTCTTTTGATCCAGAATCTATAATATGCCACATTTTTGGTTGTTCTGTAATACATTTTTTAACTTTCTATTTTGAAATAATTTCAGATTTGCAAAAGAGTTGCAAAGATGGGTAAGGAATTCCTATCTACTTTTTACCTAATGTCTCCTAATGTTAATTTCTGACATCACCATGGCACTTTGATGAAAACTAAGCTATGAACACTGGTACAAGGTTAAAGAAATGATAAACTTTATTTTGATGTCTCCGATTTTTCTGCTAACTCACTTTTTCTGTTCCAGGACTCTGTGTTGCATTTAGTCACTGTATCTCCTTAGTGTTCTACAACCTGTGAAAGTTTCTCAATCTTTCTTTGTCTTTAATTGCAGGACTGATCATCACCCCACACCTTCCTGCTAATTCTACTTATTTGTGCAAAGGTCCCAACTAATATCTGATGAATGAGAAGTCCCTCTGAGTTCTAGCTGAGGGTTAACTAATAGTCCCAAGTAACATTACTCGGCAATTGCCTATAATTTTGTAACCAAAATAAGTCAAATATTAGGTGTTGGCATTTAGCTGTCATTTTAACTTAGAGGTTCTACTTACAAAATTTTATATGAATCCTTTTAAATCTCTGAGAAACTATTAAATGCCCTGTATTCTGACTTATATTAGTATCAAAGGATGTACTGATGATACACTTTTTAAAAAAACTTCACAATCTTTCTGTGTCATTTGTAATCTCTGTTGAAGTCAGGAAGTATCATTAACATGTTATGAGCACCACATGTACAGAAGCACAACAGACTGAAAAGTATCAACATGTTGCCAGCATGCTGCCTTGGGACCAGCCTCTCACAGACACATCTACATCTCTGTCAACCGGTCTTCAACATCTGCAGCTAATTGACCCTGAACAATTCATACCCCTTACCTGTGGTGAGGAGGTGCTAATGGCATGCAAATGAAGCTATTTGATTATGTAGGTACTCTGCTAAAGTAATGAAACTGCAGAGTCCCCTGTGCCGTGGGGCAATTCATTCCCCTTAGATAACACAGCCATGGGGTAATCCCCAGACACCTGCTGGGGGATGATGTGAGCTACTGTGCTTTGCTCATTCAACATAGTCCACCACGGTGACTGCCTCTTTTACTAATGACTGGGAAAAGTGGGAAAGACACAAATATAACCTGATCACTGTTAGGGGGCCCCGAGCAGCCTTACTGACCGGTAAAGCTGAACCAATGTTCTGCAGTAAACGAGATAAATGAGAGACATTGCAGGAGCCAAAACTTCTCACGAGCATGGGATGTGCTAAGGACCCTCCCAGATGCTCCAAGTGTTACTTGACACACACCCTGCCAGTAAGACTGGTGTTCCAGCCTCTGCTTTGCAAAGAAGAAACAACCATTTTAGGTTCCGATGAGGGTGTTTCATTAAAGCTTAGGTCCCTTTTCATCCTCTACCCCGTCTAAGAACACGCCTCTGTGATTTGTCAGTTGTGCAGTAGTGTTTGTTTACTGACAGCCAGACTGTGTTTAATATTGCTATACTGGCAGACATGGACTTCCCAGGTGGTTCAGTGGTGAAGAATCCCCCTGCCAACGCCGGAGGTGCAGGTTCGATCCCTGGGTCTGGAAGATCCCCTGGAGAAGGAAATGGCAACCCACTCCAGTATTCTTGCCTGGGAAATCCCATGGACAAAGAAGCCTGGCAGGCTATAGTCCATGGGGTCCCAAAGAGTTGAACAAGACTCAGGGACTAAAGGAGCAAACAATTTGCAGATATATTGGAAGGTTTGCCTCCACTTACTCCTGTGGGACTGCTTCCCCCGCCTTTGGTCAGCTCAGACACAGGCAGTGACTTGTGTCTTTGGAGGAGAGGAAAGGTTGAACAGGAAACTCTCAGCTGGGGCCTTAATTATCCTGGTCACTGACCACAAAGACAATGACCCCTGCTCCTGGTGACCACGGGGCATGAACTGTCATAAAGACTGCCAGCTTTGTGCTGAGAGGGAAATTACCCAGAGCTGAAAAGAAAAATAATTTCAAGCCTTCCTCAACTTTCAACAAGATTCAGAGCAGAGAGATACCCAAGGGACCAATGTCAAGTGGGTTAATTTGAAGTGAAGAGACCCACCCAACTCCAGGGCATCTATATGTCAAGTAAGTAAATGGCTAAATTGAAACTGTCACCAAGGGAACTTTCCCTTCAAGATCTCCATTACATTGTCTCAAATGGATCTTATCAAGCTCTGTGTGTTTTTTTCCTCACTTAAATGCATCTTAATTCACAGAAGAGGCTTCCCTGGTGACTCAGATGGACCCGGGCTTGATCTCTGGGTCATGAAGATTCCCGGGAGAAGGGGATGGCTACCCACTTCAGTGTTCTTGCCTGGAGAATTCCATGGACACAGGAGCCTGGTGGGCTGTGGTTTTTCCAGTAGTCACGTATGGATGTGAGAACTGGACCATAAGGAAGGCTGAGTGCTGAAGAACTGATGCCTCTGAATTGTGGTGCTGGAGAAGTCTCTTGAGAGTCCCTTGGACTGCAAGGAGATCAAACCAGTCAATCCTAATGGAAACCAACTCTGAATAGTCATTGGAAGGACTGATGTTGAAGCTGAAGCTCCAATACTTTGGACACCTGACGTGAAAAGCCGACTCACTGGAGAAGACCCTGATGCTGGGAAAGACTGAAGGCAAAAGGATAAGGGGAAAGCAGAGTACGAGATGGTTGGATAGCATTACTGATTCAATGGACACAAATCTGAGCAAACTCCAGGAGATAGTGAAGGACAAGAAAGCCTGGTGTACTGCAGTCCATGGGATCATAAAGAGTCAGACACAATTTAACAAGAGAACAACAACAGCAAATTCACAGCAGACATATTACTGATTCCAGGTGGGTCTGGGTGAGTAGGGAGAGGATGAGAGAAGCAGGAATGACAGATGTTCCAAGAAAGAGGGGCTGATGGGGCCCTGGGGATGCTCTCTGACCTGCCTGCTCAGAGATCTCTGGGCTTTAAATACTGATGTTTTTGTCACAACCCCACCTTCAGTGCAGAGGAAAATTTAAGCATTTGCTCCAGCTTTGATTTCTTAAGAAGCAGTTTCAACGAATTACATATATCATTCCTGACTATCAAGATATAGAGAAAACACAGAAACTTTGCCTCTGGGACCTGTCTAGGTAACCTCTGATCCCCTTTCTGCTGTACTCCCGGCAATCTGCTAGCAGCCTGAGCAGGAGAGAACATACTGTTTTCCAAAAACTGCATCCATAAGGGGAAAAAAAAGAAAATCACACAGCAGCCTAGTAAAACACGTTCCTGTACTAAATGCAAACATACCCTGTAATGGCTTTGTAAGAAGACAATTCAAAATAAAATTTTAAAGTTTATACTGATTAATCTGTGATGTCAGTTAAATGCCAGTCATATTAAGGGGAAAAAAACACAATGTGACTGTTCACCTGTGACTCCCTGAAGTTCTGTCTGAAGCATCCCAAGGGACAACTTTCAATGCCTGTGGCATTTAACATTCACTGCTGCAGCTCTTTCTGCATAAAATAAAGAAAAATCCATTGCTACCATTTGTTTTGTTTGCTTCTCATATACAGTAATGTTAAGTAGGG